TCTAGGAAATAAGCAAACAGACTTTTATCCAGGGAGTTGTGCTTTCCTTGCTTCCCCCAAAGTTCCATGTTTGGAAAATCATGAAACACTGTTTAAACTAGAATGATTTCCAGCACACCTTCTCAGTACTGCTGTTTTAAAGGTGGTTTAAAAAGTATAGGAGATAAGTTTGCCAAAAGAATCAGGTTCAACTAAGAAAATATGTACACTGCTTTGACTCAGTAAACTCATACTTGGTATGGTTCATCTTCTTCATATTTACTTTTGCCCATATTAGAAAACAATTAGCTTACTAAACAAATTTGAGTATTTGGGATAAAAAAATCTACTTTGAGTCTCTCTCATTTGACTAAGAATTACATGATATTTGATAAGCTTGTTTAAAAATGGACATATCCAAATATTATTGTAAACACCCATTGATTTGTTTTACCTGCAATATAAGTATTTTACTTAGTTGGCTTACATAGTAGCTAATAATATTTGTTAATGTAATTTAACTGCTGTGAACCTTTACTGAACAAATATTGAAATTTATACAAGTCAAAGAAAGAGAATCTCTAATGACTTTTGTAAAAGCTTCTATTTAATAGTTAAGGAGAAAAGTTTAGATGACATACCAGATGCAATTAACAGTAGATTTTACATTTAATAAAAAGAAAGAAGCATATGTATTTGCTTTATTCATTCCATCATAATTTGCATTAGAGCTGTGGGTGTTTAATGAGCAAATTCCAGCTAAAATGCTATATTGATTTTCTAAGTGAACTTTGTAATAGCTATCTACCTTACAAAAGCTCTCTGTTTACAATTGTTTTCTTTACTAAAAACTAAAAATGTTTTAGAATTGATGAGTTTAGCATAATGATTCTTTTAAAATAAAGAGCTCTTTTAGAGTATACAAGGGTTTTAGTTACAAGGAGAAAGATGTTATTAAATTATTTAAAAAATAAAGTTTATACAACTAAACAGTGGTTCTGTACTTTTATATACTACAATATTTGCAAGCATGGGAAAATAATCCTTTTTTTTAAATTCAGTTCTCTGGTATTTAAATATTTTAACTCTTAAATGCCATTATATATATATATATATATATATATGTATATATATGAAATAGTAAATTACACGATTCATTTTAGCTTAATACTAGACTTCTCATACTTCATTTCTGTATGTCATTTTCTTACTTGAAATATGAATTCTGTACAAATTAGTGTTTCTTCTTGGTCAGGCTTCAGGACGGAAGGGGTAGGGGTGGTTGGTATGCCACTAGAAGGTCTCCAAGGAAAACTTTGTAATATCGACCAGACCAATTGGTGAAAAAGTGCTGGATCTGTTTTTAATTTGGATCAGGCACCAAGTCAGTGTGGCAGTATGGAATTAGTGTTTTGCTGGATATGTTATATCTTGAATGGAATTTAGAAGCATGACTTGGTGTTCCTCTCAATCAGTTTTCACCTCACATTTTGAAGAAGCACAGAGATGATCTGGATAATGTTTACTCCTTCAAATATGAAGGAATTTCATGTCACTCTTTCATAGATTCTAGCTGGACAGCTTATACAATACTCATTTTCCTAGATGTTTTTCTTTGCAAAATGTTTTTCTTTGCTGCTGCATTGAGACCTAAATGTGTATGCATTTCACTTATTTCAAGCATGCTGTAGTCCTTACAGTCCTGAACTTCTGCTTGTGACTCATCCATAGCTCATTGTGAGTGGAGAATGTTCAGACTACCTGCAATCAAGTGATTGTCATAACATTCCCTATAGGAGGAAAAAAGGAATTTATAAAATGCTAAATACGGGTCAGAAATGTATACCCATTGGGTAACAAAAACATCAAACCTAAATTCAGCTTCAGCTGATGAAGCAATCAGGTGACTTAGTCTTCTGTAGACCATTAAAATGAGCTAGATGAGGTCTTTAAGTATTTTTTAAATAAGTAGTTTCTTTTGGCAGTGTCAGTATTGCTATGTTGTATTCAAATGCCATACCTAAGTATCTTCTTTTTTTTTTTAACTTAGATTACTATGCAAGCATCTCACATGGTTTTCTACCCTATTCTATTTTCCTATTCTATTTTAGTATTAAACAATTGACTTGCAATATTACTTTTAAGAAATAGAACCAAAAGCCAGATACTTGTAACTGATATAGAATGACCAAATATTTTTTTAATGCAGTTTGTGGATCTGGTCAGTGGGATATTTACACTAATGCTTTACTTTAGTGGAAGGATAAGAAAACAACAAGAAAAGGTTGCTCAATTAAAGCTACTTTTGATAGCTGATAGTTAAAAGACAGTGTTTTGTAATAGACTTTTGGAAGGGGGAAGGGTTCACTGTTCAAAGGCAATTAGCATCTGAGCTGCCTTCAGGGGTGGTAAGATTTCAGATAAGCAGGATACTTAAATAACTTGAAAATATCTTTTTTCTGAATGCTTTCATACATGTATATTACTTTGGTTTAATGACAAAAAAGAAAAAATCTGGTTTTTAAAAGCCTTTATATTCATTATTACCACTGGCCATATTTATGCAGAGAGGGACTTAGATATGCCAAAAGATAGTTGCTCTGCCTGTACATGTATGTTCAAGATCCATTGCAAGAGTCAACAAATTGTGGGATTTCATGATGAGGTGAGGATGTTCTAAGGTCTGACACAAGTGGTGCACTTGAACAGGCCAGAAAGAAGTTAGCTAGACTGGAAAATAATTAACCTCAGAATAGTAATAAGTGCCAAATCTTCAGTCATTTAGACAACTTTCAATTCATTGCAGCAGTTGTTTTCAAGGTGAAAATTGCATAGTGTTTCCACTTGCAGCTTTATGCAAAGGGCTCCCTGTGAAGTGTCTCTGTTATGATGCTAGATAAACTGACATCATTTACTGGAGAAACCATAGCAAAAAATATATTTAGGTACTGATAGGTAATAATTACCATTACAGAATCAAATTGCATGTGTATTCCAGATCCAGTCAGGACATAGCAGTTGCACTATAATTTACTCAGGCAGTCATTGCCCTGACACTAGTTTCCCTGCCATCACACATCTCAGCAATTGAAGTGGAAGTCTGGTGAGCTGAAATGCACAGCCTAAGTTACCTCTTATGTTTTTATCTTTCCTTTGCTGAGCCACCTACCTTTGCAGATATCAGATGCCTTCCCTGCAAGTGCTGCAAACCTATTGCTGGATACCAGCCAGTGCAAATGCAGTGTTACAGCTGCCTTACTCCTGTCTTAGTTTTTCCATTCCACATCAAGCAAAGTTTTCTTGTTGCAAACAGGGGAAATAGATCTTCAAATAGATCTTCACTATTCTTCTGGATTAAAGAGAATTTAATCAGTGTTTGTTAATTTTTGCATACATTTCAAAATCTGTGCTTCTGATGCGGAATTTCTTTTGATGTTGTTGGGGCACAACTTCTTACACCTCTGACCTGGTGACTAGGCTTATAGCTCCTCTGCAGAATTTTTCTGAGGGGAGGGAGTGCACTTTCACAAGTAACATTTAGCCTTTCTCTTTATGATTTTGTGTAATGTGCTGTTAGCCTGTAACCTTTTGCTAGGCCTGCAAAAAATGCTTCCTTACTCCTCAGTGACAGTCTTCTCCCCAGCTTGAGGACAAGAAGATTCATTTTTTTCTTGGCACTGATAAAATGTATTTTGTGCCAGCAATATAGCTGCTACAAGAATGTGCTGCTGTGTTTCTGCTTCATTCTGTGAAGAACAATATAATGTTTCATTATATGTTCACTATGAAATTTTTTGTGCAATAATGTACAGAGGTGAAGTAAAAGTAAAATAACAAAGGCAAAAAAGTTAATGTCAATTTAGGTAAGAATGGACGGACAAAAGCTCTAGGCTTTTAGTAAAAGGGAGGAAGTAAAGAGGGAGGAAGCCTTTCTTTGAGATCGTAATGACTGAAGCAGTGGTTGAGAGAGGAGCAGATAGTTCTGAAGGGAGTAAGGAAGGCCAGCAGCAATGCCTTAATAGAAAAAGTTCTTGAGAAATAAATATAAAAATTTGAAAAACACTATAGTGTGGCGTTAGTTTGACAGACTAGAAGGGACAAGGAGGATGGAGAATTCAGGAACCTTCAGATCTCAATTAAGTTTTTTGAGGTTCCAGTGAGAGAGAATATAGTCTTGGAGTGACAGCAGTCTTACAGCATACAGAAAGTCCCTAGACATTTTGAATGCATGGTTTTATGATGACTTTGAGGAGAGATTTGCAGTATTGCAGAGGGAAATGATGAAAGTATGAATAAAGATTTTAGTGGAGGCAGGGTCGAGGTAAGGATTCTGGCAGTGTGCCAGAAATGGTGTTAGACATATTGACAGGGGAGAGACAGGGAAAAATGTAAGCAGAGGATGAGGAATGACTTGAAGGTGTTAGTTTGCTCCTAAGGATAGACAGTAAATCTTAGTTTATTGGTACCTAATGCTCCAAGGTCCATGTATGCTGTAACAGATAATATAACAGTATATTACACAATAAAGTAAAGGCTTGGCAGAGAAGGCGAGATGCCAGCTGTGCCACTCTTGTGATACCAGACTATAAAAATATTAGAATTTTTAATATCACTGTGCCACCCTGATAGGAAGCAGTCTGATGGTAGTAGTTTTAATGTATGATGACTTTTAACTCTGTGTCCTAGAAGAAACTTGCTAGTGTCTTATATGAATCTGAGCTTTAAGAATTACTTTTCCATTAAGCAAGTATTCAGAATGCCCAGCAAATCACTTTCTTTCCCTGTTAAATTTTATAGGGGTGAATTTGAAAACATGTCACTTTATTTAATACCTTAAAGTATTGACTGTAACAATTAACAGCAATTTAGTGTTGTGTCTAATAGGCAATATAGACCTTATGCAGAATAATCCAAGGTCATTAGAGAAGTGTTGATTTTAGGAAGGAGTGGCAAAGGCCAACATAAGTGCATCTAATAGTGCTTTTCCTTGTCAGACTTGTTTGTTGAACACACTTTTGCAGCTCTGGTGGAAGAAGTTTATTCTGCTCAACGGGAACGTGATGAGGCTGTCATGGCAAGGCTTAGGTTGGCCAATGAAGAGAGAGATGAAGCATTTCTGCGAGTCCAGCGTTTAGAAGAGTCTCTCAAAGAGTAAGTATGCATGTCCTGCACCATGTAAAAAGGCTGTTGTGTCAGTCTGTGACAGTCATAAGCTGCTCAACAGTGGTTATAGGAAAACTTAGCACATTATTATCTGTGCAATAAAATAGACTAGGGCCAGTCTTACTGTGTTATTGGTTAATTTGTTAGCTGTTTTATAAAACTGTATTTTTCTCTGGAGACTGAGAGGCGATGAATAATTTTGATCACAAAAATTAAAAATATAATCAAAATCTTCAGTATTGATTTATTGAGGGAGAATAAGATGAATGTGACATTTTATAGGGATCTTTTGACACAGAATACCAGAATGCCAATCAAAAGTTGCAACATATAGGAAATCAATCAAGCCTTTAAGCCCACTAGACATTTTCTTCAGCAAAATTTCTACTAATTATATGGGTGACACAGCAAAAATATATGGTTTTTTTCCCCTATCTTAAGTGTAGGAGCCGTTTGTAAGGTAATAACGGTACAATTAATAGTTCATAGATTTTTATGCATGACATCTTAACACAACAGAAATAGGCAATCTTATATTAAACAGAACTAGATCAGGAGAAAATTATCAAGAGTGGTTTCTTTCTTCCTGGGATATAGGCAACTTTGAAGCTACAGTTTGCTTCTCCATGGACAAGGCAATCTTTGTCCATCTGATTTGGGATGATCTTGGTGATCATTTTTGTTAGTCCCCAAAAGGGTAGTCCCACAAAGACTAGAGTGGCTGAGAAATTTCTCTTACTTGTCTATCAGGAGAAATGAAAAGAAACAAGCTTTCAATGACAGGAGACTGAATAGGTGCAGTTGTTAGTTAACTAAATGAGAGGCAATTATGTTTTAATTAATTGATTCTACTAAGAACAGTCTTCTTTTGAACAGAAAACCAGTCATCTTCTTTTGGGTATTTTTATAGTTCAGACCAGAGAATATTATATAAATTAATTTCAATAATCTGCACATAGTTTATTTATCATTACTCTGTAGAATTTACAAGTTAATAGCATAATCCTGTATGTTCCAAGAGTAAAGTTTTGTATGGCTTCAAACATCATATGATCCTGTATATAAATAGTTAGCATAAACTCAAGATCTTTGATCTTAATGCACTCAAGTAATGCAGAAGATTAATTATTCTGGTCAACAAATTTGGTCAATGACTTGGGTTTCTGGAATATTACTGCTTTTTCTGCAGTGGAATCCACAGACACATGGGTGGCAGTTCTTGACACACATGAATTCACTCAGAACACCTTCAGTTGTTTTCCCTTCAAGCTCTTCTGTCTGCTTCACTAATGTGCTTGAAAACTGACTTAGTTCTAAGCAAAAGTATGAGAAAAGAGAAGAAACTCCATTTTTCAAAGAACATGCATAGGATCTTCCTCAAAAGCATGTCATTGCAGAAGGCGCTGGAAACACTGGTAATGCCAAGGTAGTACTTGTTCCCAGGAGAGCCAGTAACTCCCTTGACTGATAGTTTGAAGCCAAGCTATTATATTTTATTGCTATCATTTAGAGAACAGCAATTGTACTAGCTGTCATCCACTTGGGTGTTCTTTCCCATGCTTTGCAGAGAGGTCTGATACCCTGATGCCATTCACAGTCTCAGTTTAGGAGATTTCCCTGTGGAGAACATCAGCTTTCTTTTCTAGCTACCACCCTTGATAGTTTCTTCCTTTCTTATGGTGGTTGTTCAAAAGGTCAAGTTCTCTGTCTCAGACGCGGAGCACATAGCGGTTTTTATAAAGAACTTTGGCTACTTGTGCCTCACTTATCAAGTTTTAGAGCACAGGTCACTCTTTCCATCTGCTTTGGACTTACTCCAATCAGAAAACTTTACAAGAGTGCAATATTGAACAGCCTGCAACCTTTATTAAATGCTTTAATGCTTTCTTTAAATTAGCAACTGGAGCAGTTCTAATTTCATTATTTAACTGTAACAACCAAAATTCTTTCAGCCCTGTTGGCCCTATGGGTAATGTTATCAGAATGTGTTTAGAACTGGGGGAGGAGGAATCCTTGGTTACTGTTGTTTAAAATCATGAGGTTTTTATTCATTGTCTGTGCACAGCACAGGAGACTTAACAGGGCAAATACACAACTCTGGATGCTACTTTTTATAAAATATTGTCAGCTAAGGAGGTGTTTGTATACCTACAAACAGATCCCTTGTAGCAGTAATATGCTGATGCTATGCTTATGGCAGAAGTTAATGTTCTTTTTTCCACTCCCATTTCTCCCTAAGGTATCTTGCTTACCCAGCCTCTTGGTTGGCTGGGTGATTTTGTTGACCCCACACTTTTAGCAGTGTAGAAGTTCTCTGGAGAAGCTGGGTCAGTCCTGCCAATTTACTTTGACAAATACTGTTCTTTTCATTGTGAATACAAACGAGCTGGAGATCCATTTTTAAGTCCCACATGAAGTGGTACTTAGAACAATGTGAAAACATAAAGCCGGATCTTAAACAGGATCTTAAAGCAGGACCTAAAACAAGGACCCAGATCTGAGAATTCATTATAATAATATAATAATTGATTCTGTTATGTTTGTTATTTTATTATTTGTGTTACTTTAGGAACACAAGTCCAATCCAACAAAGGTTAACTTTTATTCTGTTTAGTTCTGGTGCTGATTGAATATGTTGAAGTAGTTACTGCTTCTGAATGCCATATAACAGCTGTTATACACTGATAGTATATTCTGAAATATTTCTTTTTAATTTAAAAATTTCTATACTGGCTGATTTACTGTTCCTTATGTACTGTTATCTGCAAAAACTAATGGAAATTGTGGTAGTGTGCTGTCAAGTGTTCAATAATGTGTTTTAGCTAAAATCATGTCTTTGGAGCAGTACCTGTCACAGCACTGCTGAAGTGTTGCTGTGTAGAAGATGTTTAATAGTACTGTATCTGTCTTAAAATATCGTAGGCTACTTTTAGTAGAAGTCACCATTAAGTAAGTAGCAGTGGAGTGGTAAGGTAACTTTAATATGCTCATTTTTCCAGAAGAGAGATCTCTGTCCATTTAAGTAACCTTAGGTAAAATAAAATGTGTACTATCCCATTTATTAGATTTTTGTGCTATCACTTACTACTTTTACACAGCCAGTATTCTATGCTGTATGACTAAATTCCTCGTATCATCTTTGTATTTGACAGGTCAATATATGTTCTGTTGAAATAGAAAGGGAGGAAAGTGCAGGCAGGTTTGTTCCAGAATTAAATAAGGGCCTTGCGGAGAATTGACTTAGCTTCCTATTTTATGCAAGATATAAAATCAAAATATTTTTAAAGTTACTTAAACTGGTTTGGGATTTTTCCCTCATTTTGGAAGAAAGAGGTGGAAAAAGAATTACTTAAAAATGAAAAAAACCCTATGAACAAAAGTCATGCTCTGTTTCATTTGGGGTGCAGTAAAAACAAAACAAAACAAAAAAAAGCCCAGCATGTAAAACTTGTAAGCCCAGAAATAAATAAAATAAAAGCATCAGTCATTTCTATCACTGGGGAACTTTTTTCATCTAAGCACATATGAACAATTGATCCTTGTAGTCATATATAGCAGTAAACATTAATAACTTAACAGTCTGAAGTCAGTGCTGAAGATATGGAGCATTATTGAAAGATGGAGTCGAGCAGGTGGCACTTTAATATGTTCAGTGTCATGGTTGACTCTAAAGACTAGTAGAATGAAATTACTTGAGGTTCTAAAGATTTAAAAAGCGAACTCATTTTGCTGCACTAAGGAAATGCTACTGATCAGGCTTTCTGTGTCCCTTTTTTCTAGGCTAGAAAATATTAACCCTGAAGAAAATGACATGGTAAGCCATTCTCTGAGGAGATTTCTTGATGTCAGTCTTATATCTTAGAGGCTTAAGTTCAATTGAGTGGGTTTCAAGAACTAAGATGTGGGAAAAAGAAGAATTGACACACTAATAATGTACATCTTTGCTGCAATATGAAAATTCAATAACTTCACTCAGTCAATTTACAATTCACATGTGCCTATTAATTAAAACCCTATATTAAATAAAATATATTAAAACTTCATGTCTGACTAACATATAATGCTGTTGGTAGACATTACAGGAATTACTGAACAGAATAAACAATGCAGACTCAGGGATAGATATACTGAAGAATGGAGCTATAATTCTGAACCGAATACACAGGACCAAAGAACGTAAAAAGAAAATAATAGCTGAGGAAATGAATGCAGTAATAGAACAACGGGATGCTGCTTTATCTCAAGTAAGTCTCTACAAATAGATAAGCACTCAGTAAAAAATTTATTTTTTTCTTTCTTTTTTTCTCGGAGGGGGGCAGGGACTGGTTTACTTTCAGGGAAGAAAATTATTTTGTTTACTTTTCTCTCTTGAAAATTTCAAAGGAGAGCCCTTGTAGTAAATATCTGATTACTAATCAAGTTTTTCTTCATGGTAGTAATGCCCATTAAAATGGCATCACTGTGTTTTCTGAGAAAAGTTATGTTTGTATTTTTTGCACTTCATTACTATCTGTCTTCTTTTTAAAACACAATTGTTTTCAGTGAGTTGACCAATCTAAAAAGCTATTAAGGGCTTAGTTTTGCAGTATGCTGTATTGGTGAAATGCATTGGATGACAGGTAACTGGGACAGAAGGATTTATAAAGGGTTATGAGTAACAAAAATATACATTAAAGGAAGGTAACAGTACCACATGCAACAATGCAAGCAGTTCCTCCCTTTGTTGCTTTACATTCAAGAGATAAAAATCAGCATGTGGTCCTTGACTCTCAAAGTCTTACCCATCTACTACGTGACTTGAAAGAATCTGGGTTCTTTTTTCTGCCCAGATCACTCATTGCCTGCAATTTCCTATTTTGAGAGAACAGTAATTGTCTTCATTCTCTTCACCATAAAGAGAGTTTCCTTGCTCGTCTCATCTCATGGAAGAGTTTTTCTGTTGTTTCTTTGGTTTGAGTTTACGTTTTTTACCCACCATTTTTAAACAGAATTTTAACTCAATAGGAATAAGCTGTAGGGAGGAACAGTCCAAGTAGGGAATAAATCTCCTGAGAAAAGATCTTAGACTGGATGAAGCTCCTTAGGCCAGGCAACAAATTTCATCTGACTCTTCCAATATTGAAAATTTTGATTTTCAATGTAAGTAACCAAAGTTGGCCCACTAATTGTAACTAATTTCTACTAGATTTAAAGTCAGGTTTGTGATCTTTAATGATATCAATAATGTTAATTGAATTTATATTCTATTGAGAAATCCTCTAATAAAACTGCCCCCTCTACAAACCCTGTGATCTTCACACTTTTTTCAGTAATTTTTTGCATTCTTTCCTACTTTAACCTTGAAACTCCCATCTGCCTGTTGCTTAAAATACTTTGTGTGTCTGTCAAGTATGTATTGCAAAAAAATACGAATGTATTATCTTAATGTATTATTATTACTTTCTCAGTCTATTTTTTGCTTTTATAAAAATATTGCTGGGATGTTTCCCAGCACAGCTACTGGGAAGCATCCAACAGCCCTTCCAAAAGTTTATGTTCTTTCTTCTTGCACAGGGCATTCGAAAAGTGAGCATCTTGTAACAAAAAAACTTTCAGCAAAAGGGAAAGATCTCTTCATATTTTTGTTTTCATTATTTCAGTTTTTGGTTCTTTGTTGGAATGCATACTTGGACCATAAAACTTCTATGAATGTCAGAAGACTTTCATTGTTGGGCATTTTAATTCACATTTTAATTCAGTTGATTTTAAGCTGCCTGTTTAAGGACTGATATTTTCCACATAAACAGCTTGAAAATAAAGATAATAATTTTGGATAGTAATGGCCCAAGTGTCACCACTGGCAAAGCCATCTTTAGGTATATCAGCAAAAAAGCACAGGTAATGTTAACTAGATACTGCAGCTGAAAAAATAAATTAGTAGAGTAATAAATCCTCACAAAATGAAGATATAAATATTTGATATTAAGCTGTAGTACTATGGTATCACTAGCCATTTATACCACCATTGTTTTAAATTAATTGTTATTAATAAAACTATCTATCATGTGTTTTCAAATTTTTGATGTTTTTACAGCTGTTACTGTTGAATCTAGAAAATAGGTCCTTGGAATTGAAGCTACCTTTTCAACCTGTGTTTCTCACTTGATGATTCCTTGGGAATTCGTACCATACTTGAATTATTAGTAGTCTTTTGTTAACATTGCAATAGCAGTAGTTATTACAGTGCTAACATCAAGAACAATAGGAGAGGGATTCTACATTAGACCACAAAGGGACTAGATATAATTCAGGGGATGTATATGCTTAGCATAACAAATGCAAATTATTGGAAGTTAGATCTGGGGTTGCCGCAGGCATTCATAAGAATGCAAGTTAAAATCTTTTTCTTTTTGTAGAAGTGACATCAAATATGAAGGGAGGAATTGAGCGCAGTTTGAGAAGAAGCAAAAGTAGAGTAAACCATTAGCATGCTGTGACTGTCCTCTGGAAAATGCATTAGTAAAGTTCAGGGGTCACTGGGCAATGTAGGTTGAATGTTTCATGACACATGGTGTTGCTTTGTTCCTGGTTGCTGTTGTGTAGTGCTGGAGACTGCACTCAATATCATTTGAGTGACCACTATATCTGGTTCCATATGATAGAGAACTACCTACAAAATAACAAGAGTTTGGACCGACTGTGTTTAGTGAAGCTGCATTTATTACTTTTCACTGTGATTTTCGTCACAATAGCCTGGCATTTGGCAATTGGGCACAGTGAACATAAGCAGTCACTAGCTTTTGGGGATTAACTCACAGGATTTCTGATTTTTCTGAGTAAGAAACAATAATGTGAAAACCTTCACAGCTCAAACACATTGCTTTGATTTCAAGTGAGGAATAGAGTACATTTCTAAAGTTTGAACATTCTATAAGCTATGCATTTACTATTACCAGTAAATACAAATTACTTCCAGCTAGTCTTTTAAATTCAGTTTCATCATGGTTTTTTTTTTTGGTAGCTATACTACTGAGCTGCATTTAATTGGACTGCAGTTGCAGCATACTCAATGATTATCTAGTTGTCATTCTTCTGTTTGGATTTTATTTGAACAATTCTTTTATTCTTCAAAAAATGAAGAACACTCTCTGTCTTGGAAAGGCCATAAAAATGTTTTTTCTAGCTGTAACATCCAAGAACTTCTGTGTATTTTTTGAGATTTCCAGCATGAGCAGTGCTTCTTACTAGGAAGCAGATTGAGGCACTTCTATCTGTATTGAGCTGTGTGAGTATATGTAATCTCAGATCTTTCACTAGATTGCTGAGCAAATATGCAAACTACTTTTTGTATGTGTGAAAACAAATGACATGGTATAAACTCAAATATTTGATACTACTTTTAGTATGTATTTTCAAGTGAATAATAAACAAACAACTAAAGCATGGCTAAACATTGACATCCACCTTCTCCTGTATCAACCCCCTTAAAAAAACAAACTCAACAGTTTGGTTGTATTTGCTAAGATATGTTTGTTAGTGAACAGATATTGTGTGATACTGAAGATTTTCAGTGTGTTTTAAGACTGATCTTCTGAAAGAAATTAAACATCATTTTCATGTCTGTAACATTCAGTTTTGTCTTAACCTATTCAAGGAAAAAAATTATTTGTCCAATTGATCATAATACAGTTTTTAACTTTCTTGAGAAATCTCTCTTGCTTGAGTAATCCAGTTTATGACAGACACTTAGTAGAGATTCCATATGGCATAGTCACATTGTGTGATCCTCATAAAATATCCTAAAGAAGGGTTTTCCAGCAGGAGGCAATGCAGTACAATGTCTCAGCCACCTATTAGCCACATCACACCTTGTGGACAGGAATGTTAATATCATTACAGGGTTGGCAGCTGAAGACTTGAGTAAGTCATTACAATTACTTTTCTTCTGGTTTAGACAAGAAAGGGGACCTTTTAATTGGTACAGCTTGAAGGAAGTGATTTTTTAAAGCTCATTAAGAGATTAGGAGATTGTGTGTTTGATATGTTTCCAGTTCTAATTAATTCTGTAAATGTGGGAGTTTTTTAATTGGTAACAGTCAGTTCTGTACAGAATTTTAAATATTAAAGATACATATAATTTGCTGTTAAGGAATAGCAGTGGTTTCATGGCTGGCAAAATATCATCTCTAGTACACTGATCTTGAAGCAATAGCATAACTGGCAAACAAACCTGGTTTTACAGCTTTGAGTAGTTTGACCACATCCTGCTGTGCAGGAACATGCTTATGACTGTTCATGTAAAAAATTGGCAGTCACCCAGTTGCTCATCTGAAGCAAGTTAAAGAATTCTTCTCCATTTTGAGGCACTGTTTGGCAGCAGGCAGCACTTTATCATCATTGAAAACAATGACGAGATGCACTATGCTTGACTTCCCATCATTATCAGTTTCGACTAATGACTAATCACTGATAAATGTCTGTACTTACAGGGAGTCAGCTTCTTGCTAGCTTTTATTTTTTTGGTTTTGTTCTGCTAAAGCAATTTTCCTCCTTTTACACCAAGTAGTATAAAGGAAAGTAGTGTTGCCCGTGATTTACAGAGCATTAGGGCATTCTCAGCACAGAAGTGAACAAGTCTTACTGAGGTAGTAAACCCAAGACCTATATGAAATGTAAAAACAAGAAATATAAATGAAAAAAAAAAAAATACAGATCTTGGACCCTTAATTTGAAAATACTCAGGTGGCAAATTACAATGCCTCATGACTCTTGGGACAGAGGTGATCCCTTTGCAAACTAAACCACAGTGTGGGATGTTATTTTTTGTACTTTTAATTAGAAGTCTATTTTTATATTCTGTGTTTTGGTACCCTTTGGCACTTCTTGATTAAGAATGCTAATCAAGTTCTTGGCTGGCAGGAGTATATCTGACAGTATCCTCCTACCTACTCTCTCAAGGTACTTACCCTACTTTTCCCTTTGCCACTGATATTTGGGAACAGGAAAAGAAGAGATAGGATGCTGTATTAAAGTTGTTTATGAACCAGGCTGCTGCTGTTGGGTACTGATGATTTTGGTCATGAACTTATTTCAGGAGGAAAGTGAAAGTAAAGGGAATATTTATTGTACTTTGAGGATCCAAGAACCATGCTTGTTAACTAAAGACTGGTTTCCTTTGGGAAGGCAACCGCAAGTTGATGTTGTTCTCATTTGCATCCCTTTCTCTGAGAGGCACCTGATAAACGGGCATGGAGAAATTCCTTGC